GTTAATTAAAATGTAGTGATGAATGAACTTCAGAATAACAAAGGCTTCTTTCCTTTCCAGTACCACTCGACACCAACACAACAACATTGTTTACTCTCATTGGTTAGTCATATTATATCTTTGTGGAACATACCTTGCTTGTCAAACATTTATCTTCCAAGTTCATACACCTCAAAATACTGTATTCTCTCTTCCCACTCATCCCATAACCTTTACCATACCCTTCAGTCCCAGACATATACAAGTTAAGAATCTGTTTAAGCTCCCTGTGGCAGTTTCTTTTCTTGGACATTATAGAGACCAAGAATTTATATGACTTCAAAGCAAGATAGACAAAGTGAGGGAGGAGATGCCTACTAGTGGCCATTAAACAATCTAGACACAATATCCACACAAGCTACTAGCACAAACGAGGAGGCTATAGCAGGAGGAGGACTGCTTAATGTAGCCACAGTTTCTCCACCGCTCTCTAGACCCCATCAGAGTGAGTGACGTTTGACCTGATCCAATACTTTTCTTAGGTTGGCTCACAAACCCAGATAGATACCCCCTGACATTTCTTCACAGTATGCATCATATATCTTTGGGATGTATAAAAAGCCACATCCTGAGTCAGCAACTTCCCAAGTCTTGCGCTTCAAGAAAAACATCCATCATCACTCACAGGAGCAGGGCCTGAATTCAAACTTTGCACAGCCATGATACGCCCTATTATTTACAGTGCAGAAGGCCCTAAACTATTTCAAAAAAAAAAAATGCAATAGGACAGTAAGAAATTTTTATATAAAGAACATTCTATCAATCAACCTACCTCAGTAGTACTTACTCCGCCATTGTCTCCAGAGTAACAAAAGACCTGCAGGCACAAGTGAGGCAGCGTTTATTAGCACACTCTGGAGTGCCACCAGTGTAACACAATCAATTTGGGGTCACAACACCTGTTCACAACTGCTTATGAATTTAAAAAAAAGTTATTCTAAAGAAGGCTATTTGTGACCTAAGCTGACCGGTTATGTTACTAACCACCTCAGAACAAAAAGCACAAATTAATTTGAATGTGTTCCAGCTGAAGCACAATTTTTCTAATATCAATGAGTTACAAGTGCAAAATTCCCTATGATGTTAATTCCAAACCAGTGATCGATTACATATGTGCACATATGCTCTCTATAAAAAATTTCTTGCTGTTTGCATTTCCAAGTACTAGTACGTATATGCACCAGTGACAAGACAGAAATAATAAATTTGTATCTGGAGCGTTACCAACGCTTGACAGATTAACTGTCTGGTCATATGTTACATGTTTTAAGTGCAATTTAAAAATTTAAAAATCAGTATTACAGTACTTTGTAATGAGAGGCAGAACCTTAATTTAACTTTATAATTCCAGATACAACGGCTTTTCCTTGAATACGAAGTGATGTATCACACATTTCAAACAGGGTATTCTATAATCATAGAGCTTTTTGTTACTATTAGAACTGCAATTCAGTTTCTGAGGCAGTAAAATGCAGTGCTACATGCCAGGAATTAGAAAAGCTCTTAAAAATTAGGCTAGGAAAAATCATTTCAGCTGGAGTTGAAGTACAGAAAGCAATAGGAAAGGATTCAGAAAACATGTAATAGAGAAACCTAAGTAACATACATTTTAAGGTAAAATGTCCTTGTTTAATTATATTACTGTTGTGATACCTAACTTGCCATCCCCAGCATCAATAGGCACTTATTCCTAATTTAACAAATATTACTAACAAAAAGCCAGTTGAGACTCTCTTCTACATGTGCCTTTATTTATTTTGTTCTCATTCCCCAGCAGCTCACTACAAGAATAACAGCAGTTTAAAAAAAAGAAAAAAAGTACAAAGCTGTCAGAAAAATCCCACTGTGAAACATACAGTACTAAGTTAACAGTAATAGCCAGTAATAGCATTATAGCCATCAGTGGAAGAAGGGAACTATTGTTTTTCCCTCCCTTCCTGATGCTACAGAGATAAACATCCTCACTTCTTTTTGTGAATCAAGTTTTTAGGTTCACCTAACTCCCACAGATTCAGTGGATGTCAAATGCACTTTCATTTAACCAAAATACTTACTCTTGTAGTTGTCTTGAGTACAACCCTAAAGGACAATTCATACAAAAATATGATGTTTTTTTCAATAATTCTCCATTATTTTTGATAATTACAATAAAACATTAAATTACACTGTTTTTAGCCGTGTAACTTCTAACATACTGCATCCTCATTTGCATATGCCATGTTTTAGTCAACACAGTAAAATTTAAAGTCATCTAAACAAAGCTAAAAAACTTAGCTCTGAGAGGAGGGTTCAAGCCTTTGGAAGTGGTATTAGTTTGCTTTTTATGCTGAAATGTAACAAAACCCACATTGTTTTGCTTCATTAATTTCGTCTGTCAGCCAGGTGATAATCTTTGTTGATATTTGTGTCACTAACACTGTGTCACTAACATTGTGTCATTTGTGTCACTAACACATACTTACATGTTTCATGGAGAAACAGAAGTATCAGTGGGTATTTTTTACACAGATAGGAAAGACTTTTTTACTCCTTTGAATTCATAATAAGAAAACATGCTACAAGCATACAAATATGCACAAAGACATTACTGCCCCTAATTCACTAACAAAAAGTAATATGTGCACTTGTTAAAATATTCCATATTTATTTTTTCTCCTGCAAACAAGAAACAAAAAACACCTTTGTCCTGGTTAATTCCCAACCTATTGTATATGGTATAGATAAAGGGGTACCATCTTACATTTGAGAAGTTAGAAACAGTCATATTGAAGAAGCCAGATAACAATCTAGGCTAGGTTGACAATGTAAACTAATATCATAAAATTAGCATTTTTAAGTTAGATTGTAGTGAACAAAAGTTCTTGATAATAGAACTACATTGTGTATCTTCACTTATATATTCCAGCTGAAAGACACAGGATTATGTTTGTGCAAGAGTAAACTTCCCATTTGGTACCTTGAGTTGGTCAAGACTGAGAAGTTCAAACAGGCAGCATGACAACTTTGAGATCTTTAATACTTCCACTGCCTCTGCTTGTGATGTACAATATCTATTTCCTGGATAAACAGAGAAGTCAAGTCTCCAGAGTCTGAATCCAGCACCTTTCATAAGCCTTAACTTCATTTTTAAAAGCGATAAAAGAAAATGTAATTTGCTTTCCAGCTTTACCAGTAATCCATACGTGCTCATATTGCAGACTGCAGAAACATCTGTGAGATCAATAATAAACATCCTTCTCATAGTTCATTCTTCTGCTTTATTTAAAGAGAACATTCACCAGCACATACCCTACTCTGCACTTCCCCCAGTTTGAATGATGGAATATGGGTAACAGAAATAGAAAAATGTAAAAAAATAAATGAAAAAAATGTACATTCTTTACAAAGAGGCAGGAGACCTTCTGAGACAAAATCAAGCCATCTAATTTACACATTTCTGAATTAAAAAAAAAAAAAATTATAGTGAGACAGCAACAAGAAGCAACAAGACTGCAAAGTCTCAAATATGAGGGAATATAGGGGGATGGTTGGACCACATGATCTTGGAGGTCTTTTCCAACTTAATGATTCTATGACTCTACATCAGAGTCACATTTGCCAGAGTACATTTCTTCAATTCTTCCTACTAAAAAGCTCTATGTTCCTCATTCCAGTTACAGGTTACTTAGCCAACCCCACTTGCACGATTTGATTTCTCCTCCTACCTGCCTGCTTCCACCGAGGCATTCTACTCCTTTCTGTGCAAAGTTCAAATCCTGCCTGCTATGTATTTTAACTTGCCTTCAAACTTCATGAAGATGAGAGCTTTGCTGATACTGATCTCCCTTTTTCGTACCTATTTCCCATCTAGTAGTAGCTGGAAGAAAAAATGTAGAGAAGTAATCACTTCACTTGTAATAGTAAAGGTCATTACAGATGACACGTCTAGAGAATCTGTTTATCTACTTAATCTAGAATCTACTTAAACTAGAAAATCCCACCTGACCATGTGCAAACACAGAAAGCATCACTGTCTGGCAAATGTGAAATCCCTCAGTCCACGTAAAGGAAGCACAAACCAAGAAGCACTGGAACCTCTGAAGATGATGACTTATTTTCCTTAAGAAAATCACTGATTCATTTCTTCAAAAACAACTATTTTGCTGAAAGGTTGGGGAAATGTGGGGGGGTGGGGGGGGATGGAGGGTTGTCATATAGAGTCAATTTGAAGCCTACACTTTCTATTTCATGTCTGTGAACTAATAAATATGCTAAAAAATTCAAAGGCTGATGTATTTGTCACTATTATCTGTCATACATACTGATTTACTATGCTAGCTTCAATAAATAAATAAATAAATAAAATTGAAAGAAAACTTTTAAAACATTACAGACATAAAGCCTTGAGTTTCCCAAATGCTACACGACAATAGATAAATATTTATGTACAATGTTAAATATTTTGCACATTGCTTCTAGGAACGCAGCATTTCCATTTTATAGTCCAGGATGATTCATCACTAGACTTTATGTGTTTTGAAGTTGTATAGTTTATGTATTTGCACAAAATCGCCTTCAGCTACCTTTCTCACAAGCTTTTTACCTGATGTCACGTTCCCTACGTTACATTATCTGCGTGCTTTGCAGTTACTGCCCTGACTTGCCTTTTCATGTGTCACTATTACACATTTTTATTATTTTCCTCCTGCGGTCTCCCAGGGGAGGACGACGAGAAGGTCCCCCCCTGCGGAGCAAAATGCACTTTGGCGGCTTTTAGGGGGGCAGTTTCATCGGTGACTTAAAGACTTTGGTTGAGCAGCCGAGCACCGCCCGGCCAGCACGCCCCCGCTATGTCCCCCTCCCACCCCCAGCCCCTCAGGGGCCAGGAGGGAGTCGCCGGCCGCCGCCCCAGGAGGACGAGCGGAGAGCCGAGCGCGCATCGATGCGCTCGACGCTCGCGCCCCGCCGCCGCCATTTTCTCCGCTGAGGGAGGGAGGGAGAAGCACGGAGGCGGAGGAGGAAGAGGAGGAGGAGGAAGGAGAACGGGAAGGAGAAGAGGGCGGTGGGTGCTGTCGCGCCTCCCTCCCTTTTGGCCTCTTCCCTGCTCCGGCAGGTACCAGGTGGGGCCGGGAGAGGGGCGGAAGGCGGCCATGGGCGCGGCGGTGAGGAGCGCGGAGCGGGCCGGGCCCGGCGGGGGGAAGGGGCCGGGGCCGGGGCCGGGGCCGAGGCCGGGGCCGGGGCCTGGGTGCTCGGGAGCACCGGGCCTGGCTGCACCCGGGGGTGTGAGGCTGCTCGGGGGGAGCCCCTGCTGGCCTGGCCTCGGGGTGCGATGTGGGCAGGGTGTTGCTGAAAGAGAACGGAGCTGCTGGCGTCTGCTCAAGTGCTGCTCTGAAAGGGTGCTCGCTGGGGTTAAATAAAAACTCCCCAGCTCCGTCGTAGTGTTTATTCTGTGATGGTTATAAGTCATGAACTTTTAGGAGGCCAAAGACGTTTTGCTTTTCTAGTTACATGCTTGTTTTCGTCTTTTTTCATGTAATAATTACTATAATTACCTAAGTTAAAACTAGCATGGCATGCGACTTCTCCTTTTTTTTTTTTTTTCCCCAAATGAATAGAGATTAGAACAGAATGTATCGTTGACCTAAAGACTGTCTGTTTTGTTTACACTACTACACAGGAAGAGGGAGGGATGTGTTCTACACAAGGCAGGATGGCACTATGCCACTCGGCACTTAATAAAACAGCTTCTTGTTGCACGTTTGTTGAACAAGTGGATCATTTGCTTGAGGGGTTTTGGTAAGAACAAAATAACATTTTTGATAGTGGCAAAACTAATGGTTTGAGAAGTCACGGTGGACTTCAGAAAAGTTCCTGTGCTGTTGTCAATTAAATTATTTGGTGGAGAGTGTTTCAAGTGGCTATGTACACATAGTGTTTGTCCAGTTGCTAAATAGTTGCAGTTCCTTGAAATGTTTCTTCAATACTGTTTTGTTTGTTTCATTTAGAGTATGATACAAACAAAACAGTTGTTCTGTATCATCTTATGGATGTCCTTGGGCATGACTAGAGCTAACAGTGCTGTTTGTTACTACTTCAGTGGTGGATTCAGTAAGCTGCAATAAATGAAATGGACAGGTCATAAAAGCTGGTGTTGTTGCTGAGGAAATAATTTTCGTATAAACAGCTGCAAATTCAAAAGTGTGCTAATAAGTACACTTGTTACTGTCTGGACTTCCCTCTATATTGGATCTGTGATGTTCTGTTCATCGTTCAGGCATCTTACAAATAATGTCTAAAGTAGTGGCCAAAGTGGAAAACTTGAGTACAAAACTGTGAGTTGTACAGGTCATCCCGCTGATGGACTCTTGAAGTACAGATGACAGCACGTGGCTACGCACTGTGCCACACATACATCATTCTCTGTGTTGAAGTTTAGGTGAAAAGTGAGACTTAGATTATTTCTGCAGTTTGTGATCCTGCTGAGAAAATGTGTTATTAACAAATGGTCAAGAAAGATCTGAACAGGCAGTAACGAAACTAAAAGTTCAACTGTGGTGTAAACAATGGGTATATTGCCTTTCCATGGTAGTGATTTGCTCCTTGGGAGTGAAGTTTAGTCCTAACCTAGCTCACAATTCTTTCAGCAGGAGTAGTAATTTGTATCCTGCTTTAGTCATCTGTTCTGGTAATGAGGGATTGCCAAGTGCCTTCTGCAGATACCTTTGCTCTGTTTGCCATGGTGAAGGAACGCAGTAAGCACAGGACTGAAAGGGCCTGCTCAGTAATCAAATCCAAACTTAACAGCTCCACATAATCACTTTCATAAAAGACATCTTATAAACAATTCAATTGTTTCATCTTTCATTTTTAGTCTGTTCTAGAATGCTGATAGTTTTGGAATGCAAAAGGAATTTCTAGTGAAGTTTTATGATCGTTGTATGTCAATTTGCTCTCATGCTATTACCCTTAAAATTAGAATTATTTTTCCTCTTTAGTGATGATCACTTTATTGAAAGCAAGTCTGTTCTCTTTGCATCAGGGTTTCACTAGGCTGGGCAAGTTAAGCTTTGATCTTGATTCCGTTCAGAAGTTGGGCTCTCTGTTCCTTCATCCTGATAACCTTGCCTGCAGTCATTCTTTAAATTTGTCTTCGCGAGGGATAAGTGTGTGTGGTGCTGTATGCAAAGGCTGACCAGTGTCTTATAGGATGACAGGGGTACTTTTCTGCCCCTGCTGAAAACGCACACTTAACCTTTTCTTTTTCCTTTTTCCATTTTACAGCAACCTCATTTTGTGATTAACTAACAATCCACAAGGGTAAACTTTCTACCTCTTACTTCTGGTTTTCATCTAAGGAGCTCTGAATTTAAACAGAAATAGTTATTACAGTCCCTAAATTGTTATTATAGTCCCCAAGCTATTCTTTCAGAACTCTAATAGCAATCTTGTTCCAACATGGTAGCAGGTTATATCAAAGAAAAGGAAACATAACCACAATGTAAGTTTTATACTAATCCATTGGGGTTTTTTTTGTTTTGTTTTGTTTTTTTACACTGCAATAATAAATGACCAAAGTCCACGCAGAATGCATTTGCTGTACTTATTGCACGATCTGGTTTTCATATACTAGCATATTTTCCATTTTAAGATGGCTGGAAGAGTAATTTTCATAGATGTATGATGAAAAGTATTTTTGAGCTGGGGATCACAACCTGCTGTGTAGTTAAGACCAATATAATTTAATTTCTGTCTGGTGACTGAACTAGATTCTCAGCTATCCTTAAAAATCTTGGGACTACTGACTGACCAGTGTGTTTGTCTTGAGGCTGAAAAGGAAAAAACATTTCAAAAGTCATACTCTCTACTGAACTAGAGGAATTATTTGTCTGTCAGTCTAGTAAGCTGCTAAATTTCTTCTCCAGACTTGCCTAATTTTGTTTCTTATTTTACATGGAAATGGCTACATGTAGTTAATGTTAAAGGGATTGCCATACCATATACCTTATCAGATAACAAGATTAATTTCCGAGACTGGCTTCTTAGCCTTGTTTTCATTGTTAACTCTTCCTCCGAAGTGTGTGAGAAATAGTGAATAGTGAGAATGAGAGGGTAATTTCTTTCACTTCAACACTTCTAACCAATCAAAGGCTCAAGTCTGTAGCTTTCAGAAAACCTTCACCAGCCATGGGCTAGTGTGGTATATTTCACTATAGAAATAAACTAGGCAGAACTGCAGTGGCACCACACCAGTATTTTCACTGGGCTTAGATCTTGGGCATCATTCATCTCCTAGGTAGATCTCCTGTGAGTGCTGGCATAAAAGGGCTGTTTGGAGCTGTTAGGGAACTGAGGCTAATTTTCTGTTGCTGTCTTTTTTTCTGTGAAGTGTGAGAATACTACTTTCCACATCAAGCAAAAATGCTTTCAAAAGTGTTGAAAGGCCTCTTAGTCTTGGACATTAGAAAAGATAAGTAAAGCCTGCAAATAAAATTAACCAAGCAAAACTCTGAACACTTGGTATTATCCATGTAAATTCCACATTTGCTTACTATTATTGTTTGAAGACTGTATGTTATGTCTTGTCTGATTCTAGTGTTTCTTTTCAGCTTACAGACAGAGAACACAAGGAAAAAGAAGAACAGAAAGAAGATAACAGCAGCACCGAATGCAGCGAACAAGGAGTCATGGATCTGAAATTCACTTCATCAAGAAAATACATTTCCATCAGTGTACCTTCCAAATCTCAAACTATGTCACCTCATATCAAATCAGTAGATGATGTTGTAGTTCTTGGTGTCAATCTTAGCAAATTTAACAAACCTACTCAGTTTTTCATCTGTGTTTCTGGAGTTTTTATGTTTTATCTAATCTATGGATATTTACAGGTAAATGCTATGAACTTGTCTAATAACTTGTCTAATGATACTTTCCTTTTTCTTTAAGTTTTAGTGCAGTAGTAACATAGTATTTATTTTAGTCTGTGTAGACATCTAAAATGGATATTGATTGTGAAGCTTTCAGAATTGTAAGAGCAGTAAGCCATTATGTAATATAAGACTTCGCCACAGTTAATGTGGCTATGAGGTTTGGTTTGGTTCACTTTGACTTGCTTTTTTACGTCTGTGTCTAAGGCACACCGTGCTATACAAAATTGTTTTTAATGTATGTTTTTATATGTGACCTCATAGTCTTCTGAAAAAAAAAATAGAATGGTACAGACACACATGCAAGTCTCAACTGGTGTTGAAACCTCCATACTCATCTGAGTTCTGTGAGCGTAGCAGAGTAGTACTAGTCTGTTTTCTCTGTATTTTATTTAGTACAGGGCTGAAACAGACTATGGTGATTTGTTAAGTGTAAGCGTAATCTTTGGGCAAATGCTAGATTTTATGTTGTTTTAGATAAGAATTTCTTTTACTGCCAACCTTTTTGCTCTTATCAAGTTACATTTCTGTACCTTTCTTTAGAAGTTGAGATGTGTCTTCTCAATAAAGCAGTGATTTAAAAAATATATTCAAATAATCACGTTTCCAGTGTAGTTTTCAAAAACAGCTTAAAAAGTTTAATTGGAAAATAGTTACTTTCAAAGAGTAAGTTTGTTTATAACAGAAAGCAGAACAGAATCTCTAAAAGGAAAATACTAAGCAACTTTTTTTTTTCCACTGTATAGTTCTTCTGCCCTCTCTAATTATACCTGACACATACATAAATGCTTTATGCAGTGCATGTATTTTTCCATAGCAAATTGTTCCACTTTTAAATATCCTTAAAGCCTACAAATTTATAAACTCACAAATGCTATTTAATTTAGGAACTCAAAATTTTAGGTCCGCATTTATAAGAGATGAAAATTACTAGTAAATATGTCTCTTAGAGAAAGCTTGAATTTCATTTATTGTAAGTTATTTACAAATTCCAGCAAAAAGTATTTCTGTAAGTAAATGAACTGAAAAACAGACAGAAAACCATCCGTATTTTGTGATAAATATTCATGGATCAAATGTATTCCCCCCCCCCCCCCTCTAATGAATCAATTTATTATTTTCAGTAGATTTACACCAGAAGTAAATGTTCCCATCTTTTGAAGAAACTAAATTGTCTTTTTCAGTACTTTGCAAGTAATATGTGACAGCTGAATTCTAGTTAATAACTGGCAGGTGCAAAGGCTAGATTTGCATGTACGTGAAGAAAAATGTGTTGACTTCAATGTTTTGGTGTATGCATGTGACATTGGTGGGTTTTTGTTTTTATAGGAATTGATATTTTCCGTGGAAGGTTTTAAACCTTTTGGTTGGTACCTCACTTTAGTGCAATTTGGATTTTATTCCATTTTTGGACTAATAGAATTGCAGTTGGTTCAGGACAAAAGGAGAAGGTATGTGTTTTTTCCAAGCATTTGCACGCTATCCATCAACAAGGAAATATTTTGATATTTATGGTAAATTTCTGTTGTTCAAATGTAAATTTTGTAAGGTATTGGAAGCAGATCTGTAGTATTAAAAAAAAAAAAAATTAAAGATCTGTACTTACTAGACGATGTTAGAAAATATTTCATAAGCACCCACTTAGGCTTCAGACCTGCGAACAGTCTTGTTGACTGTCCTTCCTGTCACTTTGTTCTGCCTATGGAGTGTGTTTTGTCTCTAAGGTAGTTGATATAGAGTGAGTCTTGTTTGTGCTGCTTCTTTTTATTATGTCTAGAAAGCCCCAAGTGCAATTCACAGCACTTAAAACTATCTCTCACCCAAATGTCTTTTCCTCAGACTTTGTCTCTTCCTAACCAACAGGTTCCTATGCATCTTGGACAGTATCAAAGCTCTGCTTTCTTCCACATGGCATTCACATTTTTTGAAAGAATGTGTCACTCTGCCATTGAATTATTCTGTCTTCACTGCAGTCAACCAAGTAGATTCTTGCTGTCTTGAATCCTAAAGATATGGTGTAGTTCCTTCTGATTCAGTGTGGCCATTCTGTGGTTTCCTGCCCTAATACAGCCTTTGCAAGCTATATTGAGGCATTCTGAAAGCTTGGAGACAAGTCATCGTGGTGTACACACATTTTTAAAATTAATTGATGCTTTATTTCCTGGTTGAGCACAACCTGTTTTGGTTACTTGTAGTTATCATCAGCTGACTTCTCATACATTGATTTTAGGTAATAGATTCCTCTCCAATGTAACTTTGAGAATCTTTTGTTATTACTTTTGACAATGACAGCTAGTATTTCAAGCTATCTGTCTTTTGGAGATGCATCAGATTATGTGTAAGCTGCCTGTTAGGCATTATGTAACTAGCAACTATTTTGGTAATTAAAATTAAAATTACTGCTTATAGTACATGGCGCAGTATATAAGTTATGTTGGAAGTGTAGAACTTTAGTATTATCTGTTTTGTTTTCTGTAATCAGAATATTTTTGTAGACATTAAAAATCTATTTCCTCATTGTTATGCTGAATCTCTCTTAAATTTTATTATACAAATTTTTCTTGCATGCCTGCATCACAGAATGAGTTATGGGTAAGACACGGTTACCACAAGATGACATCTTATGTTAATTGTGGCTTTGAGTACACACAAAAAATAGTTGAACATGCGTACAGCAGTAACTTAAAAAAAAAAAAATCACAAATAGTGCAGTAAGAATTTCTGATGGATCACTTGTTGTCAGGTGATGACTTCATCAAACTGCAAACAATACGTGTGAAAAAGTTTGAGGAGTCCTGTTTATGGTATCTGAATGACTTATCTTTCTGTTGAGTTTTAAAAAACAATAGTACCTTTTTTTCTGCTTTCTTCATTCTAAAGCTGTCAATGTTCACATGAAAACTTCAACAAAAAATCATCACAGTGACTGTGGCAGGACTAAGATTCAGGGTATCTAGGTATACCAACTTTCTGCATTTCCTCTCATAAATAACCTAAAGCCTTTGCCTTGATTGCTCTGTAAGTCTTTAATTTTCTGGGAGAGCATTATTTTTTCAGTACTTTGTGAGCCATTAAATTTTTTGTTTTGCATTTAAACACTATTTATTAGCAGTAATTGAAAGAAATTAAATTTGAAACAAGTCATTATGTGTTTTTATTTTTTTATGGAATGAAAATCAGTAAGAAAAATGATCAAGTTGTATTAGGAACATATTCCTTTACCTAAATTTTCCAAGCTAAGTATCTTCTAGATGTGTCTGTAATACCCAGACTTGTATGTTTATATTTTGTAGAATTCCTGGCAAAACCTACATGATGATAGCATTTTTAACAGTGGGAACAATGGGTTTGTCAAATACCTCTTTAGGATATCTGAATTATCCTACTCAAGTCATCTTCAAGTGCTGTAAACTGATTCCAGTTATGGTAGGCGGGGTTTTTATACAAGGTAAGTGTTTGTCTTGCTGTTAGATTAATTATTTTTGGGAGACAACACAGTTTGGAATCCTGTACTTTAAATCCCACTGAGGTTCTTGACTAGGGAGGAGCAGGTAGCATTTCTTCTATAGAAGGAAAAATGTGAATTTCTAAAGTATCTACGCAGAAAATGTGGTCAAAAAAGCTATGGGTTACTTGCAAAACTTCAGTTTTACGTAGACTTTCTTAATTTTCAAGTCATACAACTTTGTTTTCTGAACAAAAGCATTTCATAAATGAACAATTTTCAATGCTGAAATGGAAAAATCTAGCCACAATTAATTTATGAAGGAATTCACTGCTCTTTTTGTTTGAAAAGTTTGATTTTTATTAAGAGCTTGTTGTTGTTTTTTCCTAGTTCGTATGCTTAATTGGAAGTGTATCTGACTTCAATTGGCCTTGGCTAATTCTAGAGTTATAGTTAGTATCTGAAAAACAGAAGAAGGGTTCTGGAGAACACCAGATGAAGACTGTAGATACGTGAATAAACTTCAGAGTGTCTGGAGTTTGTAGGTTAAAGTATATTATAATGAGTCTTTATGTACCAAACAATAAGAAAGTCAGTAAAACTCTGAATATGAATGCATTACGGAACAAAATCAAGAATGATGTGTGTGTTTGTCTCACCCTCCTAGTTGCAATAGAAAACTTAATTCTATAGGACTGTGGGCAAGCATATACATTTTTCTTTTTTCTTTTAGAAAAGAACATTTATTCAGGCTTGATAACTTTACAAGCTTACATATGTGCATATAGTATTTATCATATATTGAATCTTTTTGTATCATTTGAACTGGTATTCCCATGAAACTTCACAAAGCTGTAAATTTTATAGTAGTTGTCTGTTCTCAGAAACTGTGATTTTTATTTTTTCAGTTTAAAAAAAAAATAACTTAGAGGCTTATATTGAAAGTATTGTTCCTAGAAGAGGAATGTCTTCTTTAAAACAAGACATCAATACTCCTGCTTTTTTTATTTCCCTTTCTTTCTCCACCTCCTTTCTTTACGTCGTTTCTCTCACAAACCCGAAGACAATTTAGGGTTTTAAAATTTCCCAAATGATGTATTAACATTTAGGAAGGTCTTCTCTCCAACAAAAAGAAAAGACAGACAAAGTATCCTGCATAAGAGAAAACTTAAGAGTAACATCACAGTTGTCCTGAACTTACTGAGATAGTGATTTGTCAGGGAGAATGTGCTTTCTGTCATTAGGTGTAAAGTTAAAGTTGACTACCAGAATCTGTTAAGATCCTCCTCCATGTTAGAAACTGCTGCTACTGAAGAAACGGATTCCAGTCACAAAAGACCAGAACATTAAGACGTCTGCTGAAGTAAAAGATAGACATTAGAACAATTTTTCCTTGCCTTCTAGGCTGCTGACAGAATAAACACCAAATGGTTAGAGTATTACAGTCTCATGTTGTTTTTATTGCTTTTGTAGGAAAACGTTATAACATTGCAGATGTGTCTGCTGCCCTGTGTATGAGTCTTGGATTAATATGGTTTACTTTAGCTGACAGCACAGTTGCACCAAACTTCAATTTGACAGGTAAAGGTATATTTTCCAGTTTATTAAAATGCATATTTTTTTCTACTGCAAGTGTTCCGTAAAAGTTCTAAGAGTTCTTGGTGTAGTGCCTCATATCAAACTGAAAACACAGGTTTGGTTTTGTGTAAACTAGCAGTACTGTATCTGCGGCAGTAGAGGCGTTTATTCTAAGCCTTAGTTTTTAGTTTCTTAAAACTTCTGGAAATACCACCATTTAGGATGAAACATCACAAGCTTGTCCTTAAGAAATATTTACTACCCAGTAGATATGTAAAAGTCAATATGAAAAAATACAGTCTGACCATTTTAAAACTTGAAAAGACTCTTTTTTAGTTGAAACTTTGTTTTTCCATTTCACAACTATTCGCTTTATATTTTTTGATGATCTCATTTAGATTTACTACAGCTCTTATTTAGAGTTATACACACTCTAACTTTTCTATACTGAATAAAATCAGAAATATTTTAACCCCCTTGGGTTTAAAAACTTGAGTTTCTATCTCAAGTGACAGGAGAACTGGTTATTCCTAAAAGACATTTTATGTACTTGGTCAGTGTTTGTATTAATACTGAACCTTGAAAAACATTTGAATAATCAACTTTTAGTGTGTTCTTTCTTTGAAATTCTGGGATGAGTTATAGTAACTTCTATGAGAAACATTCAGTGTGAAACCTTTATTCCTCAATAGTGGAGGCACGTTTTTATAGGTTTTGTTCCTAAAAATACGAATAAATTCCTGGTTTAAAAAAAAAAAGCTTTGTCTTCACAGAATGTTATTTCATTTATTGTTGCTGATGATCAAATGGAAAGGACTTGTGATGTTGTCTAAGCTCTATATTTTTTTTTGCCTTGCTCATAAATTCTCAATATAATCCTGTGAAGTATATAACTTGCTGTAAATTAATGTGTTGGTGGTGTAAATGGGTGCTTGAGCAAAATATATGTATTTTGATTATAGAAGGAAGATGGTATGCATATGATTACATTCTAGTGTTTTCTGACATACAGGCATGTAACCTTTACACCTATTTTAGACTATTCCAGTTAAGTTCACTCAAGTTGATATATTCTCTTTGTAAAGTATGAATTATTTTAAATATATGCTGTGACTTAATCTGAAAAGATTTGAAAAGTTCCTTCTTAAACTGCATGGGATAGGGTAAAGTGCAGTAAATGTAGCAAAATCCTGATGCCCACAAATACAGCCAAAATGCAAGATAAAAACCTTTAAATATCTTCAGAGAATAAACAGTGTCTTTCATTATCACTTTCATTATCAGTTTATTCTGTACATTTCAAACAAATTTGTATATATTGAAGCTTAGAGCACTAGCGTTTGGGGGGTGTTAGTTCTGTGAAATTAGAATGTAGTTCTAGAATTCAAAAGTCTGGATCTTCCCTTTGGAAGGTGATTCAAAATTCTGTCACTCTGCACCTTCTGGGGAGGTACTTTCTCCATTTCTCTGTTCCCTTATTTTATTCTGTGCCACTTAATATAATCAGGAAAAAAAAAAAGTTTCTTAATGGAAAAGCTAAACTTTTTCATTTTCCTGGATGAATTAAGGAACTATATGGTCCCTTCCTTCAAGAAATGTACTGGTTTTTAGTAATGTAGCAATACATATCTGATGAAGTGTAAAACCAGTGATCAGAATTATATATATAAAAAAAAAAAAAGCCATGCTCACTCTGCAAAATGACATTCTTTTGACTAATTACCCTCTTAAATGTAAATCACAAGATAAGAACCAAGTATGGAGCGGTAAATGTTTATTTTCTATTTTCATAGAGAAATGAGCATTAAAGTATTTGAGGATATTAAAACTTTTAAAAGCATAAGCAGCAAAGTACATGATAACCTTCAAAATGATTATTCTCTAAAATTGCATGTTTGGTACTGCCTACTTACAGCCCCCTAAATTTCTGAGTTTGTTCTAGTAATATATGCACACTTACGTAGAACTTTTACCATGCAGACTAGTATGATTCTAGCATGATTTCATAGAATTTCATAGAACTTCTATCAACTTGTTTGTTGAAGACAAAACATTTTACATATCACAGTTCTAAGAAAACAAAGCTGTGCTGAAAAGTCAAACAACACACAGTCCTTGCTGTCCAATGCAAATACTAAAAATGGATCATGAGCAGACATAACAGTTTTGCCCATATCATGCCTTCAAGAATTTTACAAGTCTTTTTTTTTTTCTTTTTCCTGCTATTGAAATCCAACCTCACCTCAAAAAAGGAATCTACACAGGTTTTGTTTGCATATGAAAGAGTTCAGCAAAGAAAAGAGAAACTGTCTTCTGCCAGAACAGGTACCTATTCGTAACTAAGGAAGAAGTATTTTTTTTTTTTTTTCAAGATGAAGTTGGTAATAAGAGCTCAAAACATCCCCTAGCATTTTTAAATTGGAGAGGTGGTGGTAGATATCCTAGTTATGAAAAATAGAGGACCTTCAAAAAAAAGAGAAACTAGAAAGGAATAGTGTCCAGAAGGAGGTGATCTTGAAACATTGGTGCTATCGAAGCTTCCACTGTTCTGGCATTACAGGCATAAATGGAAATTAACTATCTTCAGCAAAGAGAAAAACGTTACTTGTGTGCAGGTTCCTCTGCCCTAGATTATATGTGTGGATGCAGTCTAGCGTTTTGCAGACTGAGGTGTTTTGTCCTTCGTTTCACTGTTGTTTATTGCTTGGTTACCTACCTCTAGAAGGTGGAGTATTGAAGAGATCTAAAGGGGCTGATAAGCTCTAAACAACTTATCCTTTAACAGACTTGCATGGTGAGGATTGCAAATACAAGAATGTGTTACTGAGGAAGCCATTTAAGTGTGCGGTAGTTTATGAATGTATACCTAGGGTTAGTATCGTAATGTCTTCAAGCATGCTATTTATAGGGTCAAATACTGTTGAAGCGTGATCTACAGTCTCATCTCTTCTAGAACTAACTTAGGACCACTTCTTCCAATCTCTTTTACTCATGCTTTCCATATTACACAATGTTACTGCACTCACTCCTGTTTTGCTGCTGCTTCTTGGCAGGTGCAATGCTGTCACAAGTGGAACGATTTCTGCCTTTGTGCCCCAAAAACCACGTGTAGTATTAACATGTATCTTGTCCCCACGTCTCCCTTCTATGTGCACTTGCCCTTCAGATTCCAGATAACTTTTATCATATCAATCCAATACTGAATCCATGCATTTGTCCTGTGGTATGCCTTGGCCATTAAGCACCGCTTGGAAGCGGCATGAATGAGAGTACAGATGGAGATGTGCTTGATCACTGTATGGAAGTGATCTGCAGCAAAGCTATTGGTCGGATGGAGTTACTATACCTTTTGGATTGGAGCTGAATCCATGTGGTTAATATCTCTAAACTGTGGTTTTTAGCATAACCAATACTATTGTGGTTGTCATGTCATTTCTGTTCACTCATGCTTTTTCTAGTGCATGGTAACTGGAATAATGAATTGTTGTCCACACCGTCTTCCGTGTTGTTTCAGTTGCATATTTGCATATGTCTAGGATGGAAAAGGAAATGGTTCCCAAACTAAAAATGCTAGTTTGGAAGCTTGCATATATCCAGAAGCTTACCAAGGAGATACCACCTGGTCTTTTTTTTTTTTTTTTTTTTTTTTAAAAAAAAAAAGTAAGATCTTTCAATCCTGAAAATTATAGAAATTATAGGAAGTGGGATTTTTCTTCTCTGTCAGGAGCTTATCCACCATTTGGTCCGTCGGAATACCTATTTTGAGACCCCTGAATTTAAGAGTATAATATTAGGGAGATAAAATGGTGCTTCTTCCAAGTCTTCCACTCATCATTTTTCTGACACTCAGCTTTTTTTTCAGGGACCAAGACAAGGACAGGCAATAAACATGATTTTGGTGTCTGATACTTTTTGTGCTGCAGGTTTATATAGTCGTCTTAGAGAAGTGGTATTTCAACCTGTGTGCATCATTAATTTCCTAAGCTTGCAACATTAAATGTAACAGTTGTTACATTCATGAGAGAATCGAAGTTTTGAGGTTGAAAAATGAATTGTGACTGCAATAAATAGTTATTAATTTTTGCTATTGGAAAGCTGATTACATTATTGAATCTGTAGTGACTTTGTTATGACCAAGTGCATTAATGTTAAAACTATGGATTTTATACCTAAACAATACTTTTCTCTTTAAAAAGAAAAAAAAAAAAACTATTTCTGTAATGAAAGGTTTTTGCTGAACCTTTCATATTTGCTTTATCACTACGTCTAATGCCTCTGTTTTACTTTTTCCAGGGAAAATGGTATAGATTAACTGCTAAAAAAAAAAATGTTATCTGGTTATTTATCTTGATTCAAAAATAAATACAATTGACACTCTTTCACTCTTGTACTACGTAGAACTACAGCTTGCTTCTTTCTAGTAATGTTCAGATATTCCCATCAAGCGTAGAGACAAGTGTGGTTCAGGACTTAACTCACAAGAGGAGTGGGAGTCGACACTGCTTTATAGATTGTTAAAACTTTTATTAGCATAATGAAGTAGTTCTGCTGATGTTCAGAATGATACAGATATTTATTACTATTCTATTCCTGAGAATTTTCAGGATAAGTAGAGTGTTTTTGTCACTGCTCTGTTTTGCTGATAAATACTCTCAACAGGTTTTTTATTTCTTTCCTTATATTAGGTGTGATCCTAATATCCCTTGCCCTCTGCGCAGATGCAGTTATAGGAAATGTACAGGAAAAAGCTATGAAGTTGCACAATGGTTCTAATTCCGAAATGGTAAATACCAGATTTGAAGTTAGTGTTCTGTCACACACAATTTGAAAGTATTTAAGTAGTCATACTGATAATTCTGTCGGGGTGTGGGGGGGAGGTTGTTAAAAGCCTGAATTAATACAGACTTTGAAATCCTTTGCAACTTTAAAATAACGTGTTCTATCACAGGCAACACATCAAACAACAAAGTAGGAAACTCATTCTGTTTTTCTCTTTCATATGTGAGTAGTGACTCTTGCTGTATTCTTCGTTTTTTTTCCTTCTGTTCTTGTTTTCTGTTTTTTCATTATGTTTTGTTTTTAACCTTTCAGGGGTGCTGCTTTTCAGGGGTATGCAATTGCAAATGTATATTGCAGCTAAAAAAATACATTATTTCTAGCAGCTTTTTTTTTTTACATAGAGGGTAGAGTCTACCCTACAGGCCTGAAATCAGTAGAGTGTTTTCTGTATTGTCATGCACTTGATCTCTTAAAAAAACAAAAAACAAAAAAAAACAACAACAACAACAACAAAAAAAACCTGTTTACAGTTCTGGTATAGATGAATGTCTGTTACATGAACACATTGCTTTTCCTACTTGATAGACTTCTGATTCTAGAGTGTGCTACCATTTGAGAGGCAGCCTCTTGTGGAGCTTGTTCTGTTGAAATCAGTAAAACTTTTACTTTTGGATGTTCCTGATTCAGTAAAATACATGATTTTGAAAAAGTATTGCTCAATATTTTTATATACTTCTTTGAAACAAGGATTATTTGTTCACATCCCATGACTTATGTAAAACTTAGGTTTGAACTTGGCATCTTTTTCTCTAAAATCAAATCAAGATGAGCAAATCCTTTCATTGTAGCCAATATTATTTGAATATGCCACAAATAAAAACAAATCTTGAAGTTGTATTTGATGTTTAACTTGACTGATGTGACAGGACAACCTAGTTCCTCACTTATGAGAACAGCTTTATAAATGGAGAGAAAACTGGTTAGGAGCAAACTTCATTTATGCCTGAAAATCATTTAGGTTGGCTCAAGAAGTTTGGCCTGCAGGTTTCTGAGAAGTAGAAGAATATACCTGAAAGGTATTGCTGTGTTCTTTTTGTTTGTTTGCTTGTGCTTTTTCTCGTTATCCACTGCTGACTGCTGCCAGAGTCAAGAGTTCTTAGCTAGGTCAACATTATCAGACCCGGCTTAGCCTTCTACAGCTATAATCTCTGAAATCCATAAGTACATCCATAGCGGCTTTCTTGCCCAATTTGCATCTTGCCAACAGTCTTCTGACAATTGCTACCAGCCTTACAATGCCTCTGATTTCTCTAGACCTTTGCTTTTTGTTATGTGAACTTGAAAGCAGTTCTGCTCTTGGAACATATATCGATCCTCCTTTATTGTGGAGCAGTGTTACGTGTTCTGTCTTCTCATGGTGTTGCTATCAGTTGTTAATAGGCTTATCTTTGTAGAAAAGAGATATTACAACAAGGAAACAGTTGATTAAAAAACTTTTCCATAAGAAGTGTGTCTGTAACTGACACTGCTTTGGCATGTAATAAATCATTGTGTTCTAGCTAGTAATATTATGTGGACAAGTTTTGCTTACTGTCCCCTTTCCCACAAGAAAAAGCTGCAAACAGCTGAATGCCTCCCACTGCACCGGTGTATAGATCAATGGGCAGTTCCAGCTTCTGTTGTTGCTTTGACATGAGAAGAGTGAATATAAAGATTATCTTGTCATTGTATGGAGCCAGGAATTTTATTAGGGTACAGACAAAATGAAGAGCTTACTTCCTTGCTGAGAAAGATGTGTTCTGAGCTAGGCCAGAGCTGGTCATATGTGAAGATTCAGTATCCTATAGCTGTAATGCAGGTGTGCGCTGTAGGTTAACTGAAGTGGCACAGATGATGCTTCATGACACGTTCTGGCAGTTCAAGGTGATTAAGTGCTGCACTTTGCATGTTTAATGGATCTTTAACGTGCAGGATAAATAGCAGAAATCTATCTACCTTTCGCATATTGTTCAACCTAATTATATAGTTGTCTGAAGCTTTATTTAGGCTGTGAAATCCTGGATTTGAAGAGTTTAACAGTCAACATTGACCTCGGGACATTAACTGTCTAGCTTAAAAAAAAAAAAAAAAAAACTTATGTGGCTGTGGGTAGGAAGAATGCTTGTTGTTGACTTCTCACTGTACATCAGCTGTTAAAGAAATAACTAGCAAAAGTATCTTCAAACATTTCAAATTTAACTCAAACTGAAAAATATTAATGGGGCCATATGTTCAAAAGCGTTTAATTATCTGCTTTATATAATATCACCTGATAATTATTTTCTCTTAAACTATTCTAGGTTTTATATTCCTATTCAATAGGTTTTCTGTATATTTTATTCGGATTAACATGCACTAGTGGATTAAGCCCTGCAGTAACGTTTTGCTCAAAGGTAGGTGCAAAGATTTCCTTTTTTTCTACAAACAACCTCATTGGAAAACATCATTCTGTATAGTCTGGAAAAAACGTCACCAACTCTCTAATGTTGTTTTCATCGTGTAACTTGGTTGTTTTCTGTTGTTCATACATTAATGCAGTTGTTACAGTTTTTGATGTATAAGATATATCGGATAATGTTTAAAAAAAAAAACAAAAAACAAAGGCAAAACAAAATCACAGGACCAGACTCATTTCAATTTCATAATTATTTTTCCATTATTTAACTAAAATTAAATAAAGATCTTTGCATGAATGCATTGTTGAGCAGCTTATTATTGCTCAAGCAGTTGATTAAAGTCTGTAGTTTTATGTCATTTTGCAATACCTCAGGGTTTGTTTTCACATTTTCCTAACAGGCTTTTTTTGTTGTTGCAGCATCCAGTTCAGACTTACGGTTATGCATTCCTTTTCTCCCTGACTGGGTATTTTGGCATATCCTTTGTTCTAGCTTTGATTAAAATCTTTGGTGCCCTTCTGGCTGTAACAGGTATGAACAAATGATATCTTTCCTGCTTTTGGTATAAAAACATGAAGTAATCTTGTTATTTAGGACAGCTTCTGAGAATAATATTCTGGCTTTTTTTCTGTTCTTTGTGCTGACCAGTCTTGGTTTATTTAGTCTGGGTCTTCTCTCGTAGTATATATTTGGGAACTTCCCAGTTCGTTCTGTGTGACAGGTTCAATGTTGAAGAGCCTATTAAGCAATCTTGTGCATGTAGCCTATGCTACATGTATGTTTTAATACAGAATCAGCACTGTTCTAAACAGAGGAATTGCTATGGAAATACACGGCAAGATACAAGGAAAAGATAAATACTATTTGAAATGCGTAAGGCATGGAAGGCAGTGTCATCACTCCTAAGCACAGAATTTCTGGAGGTTACCAACAAATAGTATTGCTAGAAAAAGTGTGTAGGACTCCCCTGAAGTTTTTGGATGTCCATAGACTTTCAGTGGAAAACTGGGGCTACATTGTAAGAGGTAGCAACGTTAAGCGTATACTCCGTAGTCTGTTCAAAATAAACAAAAGTGGAACAAATTCCAACTTTTGTCAGAATTTGAGAATGTCTCCTTGGTTCTTTTTATTAAACTGAATGCAATAAAGGGTATTAGTTTTTGATGTCAGGATATGAACCAAAGAAACTTCTCATGGACTGTGTAACAGCTGCTGAGTTATCTCTAAATTGCAGGTACTATATTAATAGTAGCCTATTAATGAAAGAAGCAGAATTTCTTACCTTGCAGTTCCTTTTCTGGACTTACGAAGTAATTGTCCTATGACTGAAAAGCAGTCATGCTTTCTGTTGAATATGTAGTATAGGATATATCAGAAAAAAACTAAGTATGAATGTAAAGTATCAGTGATATATTGAAAATGTTTTTTTGCCTATTACTGGTGTATCTGCTAGCCCCACATGAATGTAGAAAAATATCAATCCATAAATTACATCAAAAGTTATTGGAATCCTCTACAGGCTAAAAAAGTCACTAAATGCTATCGTAACTGCTCTTGTGACAGTTCGCATATAATTAAAAGTTTGTGAGGTGGTGTTCTTATCTAACAGTATAATCATTTTTTGTGAGTGAATGCAAATCAGACCTTTCTGTGCTGACAGTCTGCAGGTATGTAGCCAGCTTACTGAGGAAAAAGAGGACTTGAAACAAGAGGCAGTCACAACCATTATAGATTTTCAGTCTTTAGGTCAAACTTGACTCTTAATCCATTTATAACTGGATATAACCTTCATGTTGAGCAATCAGTCATCTGGAAAAATCTTCTAGAGACTGAAATTGTAATACCTAAGACTATCTGAGGAGCGTGCTGAGCACAGCAAATCTCAATGCTGCACTGGCAAGTAACATCATATGGTTATACTTCGTCTTTACCAATGCATTGGCTGATATAAGTGCCTTAAAAACAATGAAAAGTATTTAAATATAATGGAAGGACAACTGTATGGCTTCAAAGAAGTGAGCTTATCATTAATTTTGTCTGTGCAAGATCCTTAGTGGAACGAACAGTATAGAATACAGTTAAATCAAAGGAATTGCTGATAAGATCGGTACAACATTGTTTGCACTAGTTTACTGTAGCTTGCATCAGTATTTGTGATGCTATGACAAATTTTAGTATGTGATGAGTGTGGCAAAGCTAGCTACAGTAAAATGACATAACTGTGTTGCAAGCAAGTGAATGCTTTTAGCTTGTGTCATTGTGAGTTTGTAAATAGTCATCAGAAGTGTTTACCTGTCAGAATATCCTCAGTTGTCAGGATAAGCAGAAACGACCCTGCTGTTAATGTTAGCAGCAGTTAATTGTGATGTTAAGATTTTCACTGTATATAACAACACTGAAAGGAAAGTCTAAGCTATCTGATCATTTCTCAGCATCTCTCCATACATCTGTTTCCAGACTATCCCTAAAACTATTACTCTTCAGTATATGTAACTGCTGTGGAACAGTGAATTGTTTGTCTGAAGAAAGCTGTTGCTTCCAACCTTAAAACATCACTTGTGTGAACTTTCCAAAACTAAGTTACTACCTATCTAGCTGTTTTGTAAGTAGTTACAGTAGTCTGTCAAGAACAGTTACATCAGGCTCATTCCTTCCTCAGGTTACCTTTTCTTTAAAATCAGTCACAAGGGACTGGGGTGGGGAGGTGTAGCAAGATGCCATGGAACTACTTTCCTCTCTTCCCTCTTCCCCCAACAGCTGGTTTCTGCCAGGTAATGTCTACTTCATTTGCATTAGCAGAGAGGAGAATACAGACGGTTGTTTTCTGGACATGAAAGTTGCATGGTCTGGTTTCCTGTTAATTCTTACCTCTGCAGCACTTCTGTTTGATGTTTGTTTTAAAGTTCAAGAGATCTACTTTCTGGAAGCTGGCCCAGATGAGGGGTTGGTTCATGTATTGAAATAGCTCTTAAAAAAAAAAAAAAAAAAAAAAAAAAAAACCTACCTGTGCTAAACATTGCTTAAGTGCTGTGGAATAGAAGACCCTTCCCAGATTTCCTTGTGCCTGACCTTGACAATCCCTTTCTGTCTTGCCTGTAGCAATATGAAAATGTTTATCATGCCTTGGAAGAACACCACATTCATTACTGTCCCGCCCCCCCCCTCCCCATCAACCCTTCTCCTTGTTGGGGGGAATGGGGTGAAGGAGTTTAATGAAAATTGTATTTCTATTAGCAGAATGAGAAATTATCAGACTTAATTGGGAAAAAGAATAAAAGGCACTTAATTTAGAAGGAAATGGTTACATAAATATTTTAATTAATAACTGATTTGAAAGAACAGAAATACTCGTAATTAGAAAAACTGAATTTTACCATTTTTTAAATTATTCATCTGTAAACTGTTTTCTAATTAAAACTCAATTTTCTTTTTCATTCTACTTTAATTTTTCATGTAATAGAAAATCATTTTATTTGATGTGCATAAATTTCTTAATGTATAGAAATTGTTATTAGGAGGTTGAGACTGGGTCAGACAAAGCAATGGTGAAGGCTGTTTATTTCAGTATTAAACATCTTTTTCAGATAAGATTTTTGGGGGAGAATAAAACTTGCTTTACTGTCCAAAAAAAGGCATGAAAATACATCAGTAGTCACTGTTTCCTTTTGTTTTGGTGTTACACTAATACTCATGTGGGTATGGTTATACGAACAAGGTCTTCTTAGCCTGTTATAGCAAAAGTACATAATAAGCAAAATATTTTCTGTTAATAAAAAAAGGCATGGTTTTCTTCTGGTCCAGACAATTGTACTATGATCTTTATTAAATGAGAAACCTGTGCTGTCATGTATCACCTTCCCAGGTCCCTTCTCTGTAGCTGAATTTGTACACCTGGCTGCTTGTTACTCTTTTCAATGTTTTCATAACACTTTTACTTAGTTACTGATTGCATGTTTCAGTGATAAACTATGTATGTTTCCCAGTATACAATTTACTAGCAGAATTTTATTCTTCATAGCAAATAGCATTGAAATTGTTCAAGTAATTGTTGAAATTTATAGTTAATTTGAAAGTAACCCAAGCAAATAATTTAATTCAATTTTGGTAACAGAATTGTCCTCAGTTCTTACTACCTTGATTCTTGCTATTGATGAGATCACATGTAGAAGAAGGCCTTTTAATAATTCTAGGAAAGCCTACTAAGCCACTGAAGTCTAGCGTCCTTGGTCTCTTAGGTTTCTAGCCAAACTTGTATTTCTCTGCACTGCTAAATAAGTAAAGCTACAGGATTACAGATTGCTGGTTCCATTCCACTTAAAAAAAAAGGCCCAAAGCAACATGCTAGACCATTGAACTGTAATAAAGTGAAGTAGGAATGGCAAGAGATATGTTGTGTCCAAATACCCATGGATTCGATCCCACTTTTTTTCCTACTGTAACAGACGACTGCTTTTAGTTTATACAATAAGTTATTTGTATGGATTGTTCATTGCTTTCAGGTACTGCAGATACCTAACTGGAGCTGATACAGCATGCTTGTTTCACATAACATGGTCCTAGCATAATTTCATACTGTAGGAATGTGCCTACGGTTTGTTTGCACCAAGGATGATGATCATTTAGCCAGACCCTTAACTGGATAATAAGGGTATCTACTAATATCAAAGACTGTTTCATGTTCTTACATTGTAAGTAAATTATTAAAGAAGTAAATGTCTCTTTTCCTCTGCAGTAACAACAGGAAGAAAAGCAATGACCATTGTGCTCTCTTTTCTGTTCTTTGCAAAACCATTCACATTCCAGTGAGTATTTATTGTTTTAAATGAGATTTTATTTATTGTATAAAAATTATCATGTTGATCATGGAAATACAACACCAGTAATTAATTACATTCAGGCTTTAATGGTTTTTGTCTTCTGTCTTCTACAAATGTTGGCAATCTGTTGTGAATATTGACTGACTTGTTGATGCTAATCATGCTAGAGAAAATAGTTTCAATTTTTCTAAGGGTCTGGAAGACAAATTGTTTCACATATTGGTATTTTTTGTTCTTGCTTTTTAAGAAAAATCTTAGGTAATATGTAGTGCTTAAGACACTTAATAAATTGTTTGGGTACTTTCTCTAGGAAGACTTGGCCTTACACTGGGACATGCAGCTCAGTTATTTCATTGATCCTAAATATTTCTGATCTGAAACAAAATAGTGTTTGATTTTATTGCTATCTGTAAATTTGAGACTTCAGAACAAAGCTTACAGTCAAATGCCCAAATACAATTTATTCCAGCTAAGAATGTTGAGGCTTTAAAATAATGGAGATCTAAATTAAAAATGCACATTTGGAGGTATAGACATAAGGCATTGAGTGAAAATGTGTTTTTGGACCAGTAATAGAGAGAGTAGCTCTCCTAAATGTAGGAAAGAAAAACATTCTAAAACCCCTCAGAGCTGCTTTATTCCTACAAGAAAGAACAGGTACTGTTTATTGTGTTTTAAATATCAATGCACCTTAACTCTCCAGCCTGGACAGGAAAATGAAGGGTTGAAGGACAGAAGAAATAAAGACTCGAGCAAATTCTTTCTCAAAGTCTACTAAAATGTTGTTGCTGTTTTTCTTAACCTTCTCTCTTTAGGGTTGGAACTTTATATTTATCTAATTCATAAGTATTGATATGTAATCACTACAATTAAAGTGTTAATGGTAATTTTTTTCCCCTCCTTTCCCTCCCTTTTAGGTATGTGTGGTCAGGCTTGCTGGTTGTTCTTGGTATATTTCTTAATGTTTACAGTAAGAATATGGATAAAATCAAACTGCCTTCGCTGCATGGTGTTTGGAAAAAAAGTGTGGAAGAAAGAAAAACAAGGACGTTGTCGCAAACTGTATAGACAATGGTTTATGGTCTAGACTATGACGACTATGACTTAACGTTTTATTGGAACAGTCTTCAACTGATTCACTTTCCAAAGGGAACATTATTAAAACCAAAGGAGCTGAAGGCATATTGTCTGCTTGCAGATGGCTAGAAATGCACATTTTTGTGAGCCCTTTCTTCAGAGCACTTGAATTCATCATAAAAGGTGTTAGAGGCCATTGTCAGATGGCTTTATCAGTCAATGAAGGACAGCAGCTCCTGGCAAACTGCTGAGAAGCTGCACCCCAAATGTGACACACTAGAAGACTTACTTGGGCATTTTAATAATATTGGTCGTGGCTGGTTTGAGATTTGTGGTTCTCTGTCTTTGTTAATTGTCTAGGTGAGGTAATTTAAATGTAATACTGTATTCACGTTTAATGGAACCTAATCAGCAACTGGTTGACCAAATTGCAGTTTTAAAGATGGAAGATTTAGAATATGATATGCTGTCACTTTTTCATTTTAAATAAAAATATTGTGTTTTTTTAAGTTATTGATCAGATCATCACGGAACTTGGTATTTCTTGTCATAATTGAAATTTTTATGGAAATCTTAAGCTTTTGTTCTTTTTGGTTATTGCTTGCAAGTAAGAAAATGCATTTGAACACTCAACGAGGGCAGAATGGGTTTTTAGGCCCCAAGCGGCTGAGAACACAATGAAAAGTCATGACTGAAGCAGTGGCGTACCAAGCTGTGATTTGCTTATTCTGTGGTGAAGTACTAAATTTTTAGTGGCCTATGGACTTCCATGTCATAGTGATGTAGAGAGAAATGAAAGGTGGTCCTCTGAATTAATATCTTCAAATCAAAATTGTTTATTTTCAGTATTGGACTAAAGAATAACAGCACCTGCTACTGTATTTGGGATATTTATTGTGTCGGTCTCTGTGTGGTCCTTTGAATTTAAAATGATTATGGTACAAATTACAATTTTCTTTATTTAATGACAGGGATAAAGTGTACTACCAGTCTTTCTTTTTCATTGTAAATTTAAAAGATTGCTGGAATTTAGTAAGATCTGTTCTCTTACTTTCGTATTCAATTCATTATTGAATCATTTGCCTTCTCTTTCATTTTATGTATTTAACAATAGCACTTTAAAAATACTTATTGCTTTACAGTTCATTATTCACACAGTTACGGTGTTTTTTGTTGTTGGGTCCGTTAGATGCATCTTATTTTGTGTTCTTTCATACAGAATGGATGATTGATTCAAATTAAAGAAATGTAAATTTGACAATAGAACTGCGTGTAATCAGGAAGAATGTACAAAAATTGAAAAATCACAGGATGTATTGCCTTCTGCTAAAAATACTAATTTATGAAAGTAATCCAGTGTCTGGCAAACATTGTGCACGTTTTAGGATGAATTGCTCTACCAAGGAGCTTGTAATCAAAGCACAGACAAAAGTGTGCCTTAAATTTTGCTTAATAATTTGGTGGCTAGCATATGACATATTAGGTGTGTTATAAAATAGGGCAGGGAATAACGTAGCTATGTTGGCACAAGTGCAGAGCTGCACTGACAACTGTGCTGTTCCTAGTGCTCAAGCTACTCCTGATGTGTCAGCAAAGCCTTTCAACATGTGACTTGCCAACAATAATAGGTGTGTATATGAGACTTCATTGTGAGTGTAATAGCTTTCATTTTTGAATTCCTAGCTGCTGTATGATGTATTGTCATGGGTTAGGTATGGAGGTATGAACTAGACAAACAGATGAACCTTGAAATAAAGAAATAGAAAGATGGCCTGCTATGGTTATCACTGATATTTTCATGTTGCAGCCAAAGTTGTATGGTAAGATATAATAAAGGGTTAAAATTTAGGATTTGATGCAAAAGTGTACTTTGGACCAATCAAGGGAACAGATGCATCTTTTTTTCCCCATTACATTTATCAAGGCTTTTTATTCCAATTCATTCTTCTCCCTAAATTAAGTTGCTCTCTGCAGTGGGGTTAAGTTACCTATCAGGCTTAAAAGAGGGGCAGTTTTTGAACCAATGAAAGGAAAGTTCTGGAGTAGAACATTGGCTGCAATGTCCAGGTTGGCAGAACTTGGTAATTAGAATTTGAGCATCAGTGACTATATTTCAGTCTCTGTTTTGTCACCTATAAACTGTCTGTTGTTAAACTTTACTGACCTTCAGGGAATCAAATTATGTGAAAGCTATCATCCATGCATGAAGTTATAATAATTCATATGGAATCTGTTTTCTGTAAATAGATAATATAAATTTTAGAAATCCCAAAGTTTCTGGTAAAAATTAATATATACTATGTAGGTTGCAGAACAGTTTATGTAGAACCATGGAATCATCTAGGTGGAAAATACCTTCAAGATCAAGTCCAACCATCAACCTGAGCTGCTGACTCCACTCACTAAACCGTGTCCATTCATGCCATGTCCACACCTCTATTATAGTGCAATTTTGTTTGTATTTTCTCTTGAGAACATAGTGTTCACTATCATTTGCCTTAGAATTTACCCTTGATTGTGTATGAGACTGACTTACTGGAGCACATGTTAAGGGAAGTTTGGAGTTTTTATTTCATTAACTATAGAAAATGATTTTGTTTTACAGGTGTTAGGTACTTTAAAAAGTGAATTTTATAGACAAAGAAATACTGTAGATTTAGCATAAATTTGTCAGGTTTTTATTTTCATAGGTGTAAGTTTACATATTGTTGAGTAACAATTGCTAAGTATGTGAAAGAACATGCTTACAGAAATGAGAGCAGCTCATAACTTGTCAGCTGTCATGGTCTATGTAGTTTCATGCTTTCATTGAAGTTTAAAAAAAAAAAGTATTTCAGTGAATTGCTGTATTTTTTTAATGAGCTTTATAGCATGTACAAGTAAGAACCTGACAGGCCTCCAAGTGTTCTTATTACAGAACTTGGGTTTAGGATCTTCTGTACTGTATATGTATATTGTTTTGTGTTGTCTATGAAATATGAGTAAGGGCTTGTTTAAGAAGTAACTGTAAATTCTTTATTTTTCATGGGGGAGCAGTTACGTTGTTGTGTTGGTTAACCCTACCTAATGTTATGTAGGCTGATAGAAATAACTTTTGCATTTTACATTCCTTAGTTCCTAAACTCTTCACAGTAGGTATTATGGAACAACAAAAAAAGTCACCATAAAATTTACTGTATAAATATAATGTGAATAAGTTGTTTCCTATTCTCATCCTACACAGCTTTCTCCTCTTCACACAAAAACTGATGTAAGAACTAGTTACAATGGGATTGAAGTTCACACTGAAATTTAAGGTTGCCCAAAGTCTCCATTGATACCAGCTATTTGCATCTGTGATGCCCTCCACTTCTGCCTCCTTTGAAGGACTGAGCGAGTTTCCTAAATTACTATGTATTTGTAGCTTCTTTCACAGTAGATTCTTGCATTTACTTAGCACACGTTAATACCGAAGTAATTGACTGTGTAGTGGATTTCTTCAGTATTTCACTATGGTCAGTACCATCAAACTGCTAATTATTTTAATATACGTGTATTGTGAATATAGCTGTGGAAGTACTAATGCTCTGAACCCTTCCCTTATCCTATAGTCTTTCCTTATTCTGCATTAAACTGTTTTTTCTTTTCTTATTAACTTCTCACATGGAATGAACTTAACAAGTATTTTAACCTAAGATTTATCACAGAATGTTTTGGGTTGGAAGGGACCTCAAAGCCCATCCAATTCCGACCCCCTTGCCATGTGCAGGGACACCTCCCACCAGACCAGGTTGCCCAAAACTAAATCCAACCTGGCCCTGAACACCTCCAGGGATGGGACATCCGCAGCTTCTCTGGGCAAGCTGTGCCAGTGCCTCACCAACCTCATAGCACAGGATACAGCTGGCTTTCTGGGCTGCAAGTGCACACTTAGGCATACAGTGTTTCCTGTTTGTCTTCCTTTGTTCTGTAACTGTCTGTCTTCTGGATGCTCTTTTCCTTTTTAATATGCTGTGTTGATGTTCTATAAGTTGTTTCAGCTTTCTATTCCTGCATTTAAAGGCTTACATCATGCTCAAAAAACTAGTCACATTCCATATTTTCTGCTTCATGTCAGTTACAACATCCTGGGTGATTCTTTAATTTTTTTTCCTCCACTAACAAATCTTTACTTCTGTATGTTCCTTTATTTTTGTAAAGGTCTTGCAAAGTGCATTTATGAGTTAACTCCATGACCTTATTCCATAGTCCAAGAAAATCTCTTTTGCTTGCCTTTATGAACTAAAGGAGGAAATAAATTACTTATAAGTAATCTTTTGTGTTAATAAGGGCCTTCATTTTTAACTTGGTTTGTTTTAATTATTTCTTTTATTTATGCCTCCCATGCTCCTGAGCATAAATAAGCCCTTGTTTATCCACTTAACCATTAAACCACTGCTTGTTAATCATGGCAGCTTTTTGGTTTGCTTATTGTTTGGGAAAAAGGGTACGGAATTGGATGTATACTCTGTGGGTCAGGAAATAATAAGAAACCTCAAGTTAGGGAAGTAATTAGAGTTATACTTTGTTTCCAGAGGGATTTTATGTGTGGTGTGGGTAATAGCTCAGAATTTGTTACTGGAAGTTTTTCTTTCACCTGTTTAAAAATCTTTATATTAAAATTAATACTTAATATAAAAATACTTAATATAAAACTCCTGGCTATTCCGGCAGTTTATAGACATTAATTTTATTCTTGCCTATGAGGCAGAAAATTCCTATCTCCATTTCACTGATGAAGCAGACTTGCCCAAAGTTGCCTTAGTAGTAAGTCTGTGGCGAGCAGGGAATAGGTGTTAATACCCTCAGTTGCTCTCTGCCCCAAGTCCAACAGAGCCCTTCCATACCTGAAATGAAACGATACCAATATAAACTCAGTTTCTTTTACCCCAGCATTAGAGATCTTAAATTGTTTCTATTCTGTGGTCTATGCTAGCATGATTTAAAGTTAAATTCAGGGAGCCATAAAATAGGCTTCCAGTGTTTAAAGCTTCTTTGCATTTTGTGCATTGTTACTGTGTTTTTCGATTTGTTCTATTTTCTACAAACAGGACAGAAGTAGTAGTGGTAGGAGAAACATACCTTTTGCTTTCAGGCTACTTGTCCTAGTCTTGTCCACTTTGCAACTAGCCAAAGCTGCAAGGAATTGTTATAACATAAGGAACTGAACATAATGCCAGATTTGTATTTTTCTTCACTCGTAGAAACGCAAAGACAGTAATGCAATGAAGAGCATGCATACACTCTACTTAGAATGTAGTGCTAGTGTAACTCTTCTATATCTGGATCAATTCCTTTTTTAATTTTTGTCTTAAATGTGGTAGTAGTGTATTGCTTATCTACACTTCTGGATATTTAATGCTTTTCTTTAAGAGTTCTCAGCTTTGTGCTGCTTCTTCTCTTGCTCTTTATGTTATATTTAAAGTATTACCTTACAATTTTTTCATTACACCTGGAGTATTATGTACAGTTTCAGGCTTCACAGGACAAGGTACTTTTGGAGGTACAAGGGAGTGGAGTATGTTACAAAGAAAAGCTGAGATTTCAGAAGGGGAGTCCAGGGGAGGATCTTATCAATGTATAAATTCCTAAAGGAGGGGTGGCAGCAAAGAAGGCAGAGCCAGGCTCTTTTCAGGGTGCCCAGTGACAGGACAAACGGCAATGGGCACAAACTGAAACACAGGACCTCCCACCTCAATGTTAGGAAACACTTTTTTATATACTGAAAGTGTGACAGCACTGGCATTTGTTGCCTAGGGAGATTCTCTAAGGATGCGAACCACATGCTCAAAAACTTCCTGAACATGGTCCTGGGCAACATGTTCTAGTGCAGAATGGAGTACGTGAAGCAAATGTAGGAAATCGGTAGATTAACTTGATGTCAGTACAGGACTATTGAATGTATTCCTTAAAGGAGTTTAAAGTTGCTCTTGTTTCTCTGCATTTAGCTCATACCACACTCTGGCATGATAGTACATTGTGCAATACTGCATGATGCATCTATTAGAGCGGTTGTTATGCTGCTTGCTGCCTGTTTCCACTGTTTTTGCATCAACGTGGTCAGCTGTGACAGATGCCTTCTGAATTCTTCAAAACGCAAGTATAAATTCCACTTAAACATTGTGCTCTATCAGGCATTTACATGAGCAGAAATCTTTGTTCTGTAACAATCCTAGTTTGCTTTTGATTTTATATGGGATTACTATGCCAGGTTGAACGCTTGAACCCCAACAGCACATAAGAAGCTCTGCAACCCAGTCTTCTATGCATTTCTGGCTGCATACTACAAAGGTATTTCCTCATGTTGTGCTTATATGTGACTTCAAAACTGCAAGCACTCATACAGGTTTGATTACATGAGAAATAGCACAGTATTTTGCAGGACTAAGTATTACAAGTAAACATCTCTTAGCAGAGAAAAATAAGGACACAACAGTCTGTGCTCAGGAAGTAGGTTATGTTACAGGCTATGTATAGAAAGTAGAGACACCCACATGTACAGGTAAGTGAGTTACACCTGTCTTAGCCTTAATTTGAATGGCCAGGTCCAGCTAAATAGTTGTCCCTCATGAGTGAAGCAGCAATAGGAATTAAAGTGCCCCATCTGTGGTTTAAAAGTACCCTATCAGAAGAGAGTTGAGGGGGTGGCATGGCTCATACTACAGTGACTGAGGAGAGAAAAGCCATATCATCCAGTGGTAAGCAGTGCTGTTGAAAGATAAGTGGCTTCTCTGTGGCTCACTGTGTCTTTAGATGTAGCCTGCTATATCAATATTCTCATGCTTAATCCTGTAAATCTGCTTATTCTTGCATACAGGTAAAGGTATACCT